AAAAATTAATTTTTTGAGGGAAGTGTAGAGTGTTTCTATTCTCTCAACGTTTCAGCTAGTTAAGAGACCAATTCGCACGAACAAACTTCTCTGAAAAATTAGAGGTAAAATATACTGATTCTGGGCCCTTAGGAGGCTCCAAAATTATGTAATGCACATCTTCCTAGCGTAGAGCCGTTTTAAAGTAACAAAACGATTTGAGCAAAAGGATCGGCCAAATGACCGATTCTGCGTCCTCTGGAAGCTCCAAAACCACATTAAGCACATACTCCCAGCATGGAGTCGTTTTAAAGTCACAGAACGAGCTGTGTGATTTAAGTCACAAAACGAATTGTGCGGAACGATCGGCGGAATGCCTGATTCTGGGCCCTTAGGAGGCTCCAAAATCACGGAATACACATAATCCTAGCATGGAGTCGTTTGAAAGTCTCAAAAAGAATTGTGCAATTTAAAAGTCACAAAACGAATTCTGCGAAAAGATCGGCGGAAAGACCGATTCTGCGCCCTTTGGAAGCTCCAAAATTACATTAAGCACATGTTCCGAGCATGGAGTCGTTTTAAAGCCACAAAACGAGTTGTTTGACTTAAAAGTCACAAAACGAAGTGTGCGGTACGATCGGCGGAATGACGGATTCTGGGCCCTTAGGAGGCTCCAAAATGACGTAAAACACATCTTCGCAGCGTAGAGTAGTTTTAATGTCACAAAACGAATTGTGCGAAACGATCGGCCGAATGAACGATTCTATAGGATCTTAGGATGCTCCAAAATGACGTAAGCCAGATCTTCCTAGTGTGGAGTCATTTTAAAGTCACAAAACGAGTTGTGCGATTTAAAAGTCACAAAACGAACTGTGCGGAAGGATTGGCGGAATGACGAATTCTGGGCCCTCAGGAGGTTCCAAAGTCACGTAAAGCACATCTTCTCAGCGTGGAGCCGTTTTAAAGTAACAAAACGATTTGAGCGATAAGATCGGCCGAATGATCATTTCTGCGCCCTTTGGAAGCTCCAAAATCACTTTAAGCGCATCTTCCTAGCATGGAGTCATTTTAAAGTCACAAAACGAATTGTGCGATTTAAAAGTCACAAAACGAATTGTGCGATTTAAAAGTCACAAAACGACTTGTGCTATTTAAAAGTTATATACATTACGCATTGTGCTGAACGATCGGCGGAATGACTGATTCTGGGCCCTTAAGAGGCTCCAAAGCCACGTAAAGCACATCCTCCCAGCGTGGAGCCGTTTTAAAGTAACATAATGGATTGTGCGAAACGATCTGCCGAATGACCGATCCTGGGCTCTTAGGATGCTCCAAAATGACGTAAACCACATCTTTCTAGCGTGGAGTCGTTTTAAAGTCACAAAACAAATTGTGCGAAACGATCAGCCGAATGACCGATTTTGCGCCCTTTGGAAGCTTCAAAATCACGTAAAGCACATCGTCCTAGTATAGAGTCGTTTTAAAGTCACAAAACGAATTGTGCGATTTAAAAGTCACAAAACGTATTGTGCGATTTAAATGTCACAAAACGAATTGTCCGGAAGTATCGGTGGAATGACGGATTCTGGTCCCTCAAGTGGCTCAAAAATCACGTAAAGCACATCTTCCTAGCGAATCTTAAGATATTTGCATCGAACACCTGAATAATCGATTCTTCACCATAGTTTCAAAGGGGAAATATCGATAATCGATCATTCACGTCACGCCACTGGAATCTAGTAAAAGTTCCTGCGAGTAATTTACTCCGTTTAAGGTGCTTTGTTCCGAATAAATTAAATCTCTGTGTCAGAAAACTAATTCTGTTAAAATGTTTTTGAATCTACAAATATTACATATTTCAAGTATTCTGAGTATTCTCCCACTCTTTATTTGTCATATGTATGAATTTTTTGAGCAATTTTACAAATGCGTATTAATAAAAATACTCTGCAAAACACATCGTGATTCTTAAAGTTGAGTCTCATGGAAAAATAGCGTAATCTAAGGGTCAAATGAGAGCGAGTTAGATATATAGATGCTTTGTTGAAAAGAATCGAGGGTCAATAGGATGTCATCGACAATTGCCATTAATGGAAGTATCAGCAACTTCCGTTAGTGATTTGAAGAATCAATGCTGTATAAAGGTTTAAAATTCAAAATAGCTTCTATCCGTGTTGCCTTTACTAACGAGAAATTCTATCACCTGAGGAAGCGTTGAAGAATCATTCTGGATCGGGATGATTGAATCCACCCGTAGAATGTGAGGTTTAGGGCCGGATTAAGAGGGTGGCCACATGGGCCGCGGCCCATGGCGGCAAATCTAAGGGGCGGCAAAAATTTGCAATTTTTAAAAGTGTAGGTATAAAAAAAAATCGGATTTATGAAAACAAAATTACAAACGAGAAAAGGCGACGAAATCTCTCATTTCCCGAGAGTATAGTAATTTCTAATTTTGTCATCTCTTAGTGATACAAGAGACCTCACCTTCGATAAGGCGAGTTAAGAGAGAGACCAAACACGCAATTTGACCTGAAACGGCGCGGCGCGACTTAGAGAGAAATGATAACGATGACTTGAGATGAAAATGAGAAGCCCTCGGCGCGGCGATCGGCATGTAACACATATTAGCGCCTACAAGACTGCACAAATACTTCACGCGTTGCATCAAACACAGTGCGGTCATTGCGGTCAGCTTGAAACGGATAGCGCCTACAAGACTGCGTGAATACTTCACGCGTTGCGTCCAACACAGTGCGTTCAGCAGCGATCGGCGAGAAACGCATAGCGCGTACAAGACTTTCGGAATACTTCACGCATTGCACCAAATAAGGTGCGGTCTGCGCGGCGCGGCGGCGGAAGTTGAAATCATTGATCCACATTTATGTTTGTTCTTTCTTAATTTTTTCGTTCATTTCTTATGAATGGAAGGCCTTGTCCACACAGAGATAGGTTTACGGAACTTAACTCTCGCGCAAAGTTCCGCGAACTTTTGCTAGTAGTGTTGACAGGATTTTTCCAAAAAATGTGTTCAACACGAGTAAATACGTCTTATGCGCCTCTCCCCCGCTGACACGTTCATTTGATGGTTTTTATCGAGTTTCAAAACGAATGAGAAGGGGGCGGCAAAATACAGGCGGCCCATGTGCGGCAAGTAGGTGAATCCGGCCGTGCAGAGGTTTAATTTTTGAAATCGGTTTTTTTTTCGAATCAAAACTGGTTAAAATCCAAGTAAGTACATCTAAATTTGTACTTTGAGAAAATTAAAGACGCAAAAAGTAAATAAACTGACGACTTTATCTGTTCAAGTCATTTGCTTCCATAGCTGCCTTTTAAATTTTTCTTGTATACAGCTGCATAAATCCCAAAATATGAGAGCCAATTATACTAAATGGATTGGTGTCCATACTCTTTACCTCCATTTTGAAACACTCCATCGGCGACAATATATTTGACTGCTATGATTGTCTTTCTCTCGAGCAGACTAATAATGCACAGTAGCACTGTCAAAGTTATGGAGCTTTCCTCAGATGTAATAAATACCATTTGGTCGACAGGGTCCAAAAAAAGCACTAGCTGCACAGTGGCGAGGAGTGAATGATCGATAATCGATATTTCCTCATTTGAATCTATGGCAAAGAATCGATTATTAAGGTGTTCGCTGCGAGCACCCTGTTCATCGATCCTTTTTCATAGGTTTAAATGGCAGATCAATCGATATATCGCAAAGCACGCCACGCCACTGTAGCTGCAGCGTATTTCGTCATCTATGAACACCCATAGAAAACGTTAGGCACGTTTAATATTTCAGATTAACTTTGCTTCAATTAACTCATTAACTGAAGAATTAGCTTTTACAACTAACAGTACAAAGCAGTTAATTAAATATTTCCGAAAATGAAAACCCCATCATTGACTTTGATCAACCTCGTTACTGACTAACTTTAAACTTCAGGTAATTAACCAAAGATTGGTTTAAGATAAATAGCCTGTCTCATTTAATAAACCAGGCTCTGAAATGATCAAGAAAGATTTAGCACGCTGGAAAAAAATACAGTATCTCAAAGTATACCGATATTAATTCAGTAACCAATTTGCCAGAAGTAAATTTCGATTTATATAAGCAAGAGGTTTGAGTATATAGAAAACCATAATACTTACATATAAATGAAATGAGAGGAACTCGGGGTACAGGCTGTAAATAAAAATACAGCCTGTACCCCGTGTTCCTCTCATTTCAGTTACATATTTTGGGCTGATAAAATTGTTACCTAAACTGATATTTAAATGTCCATGAACAGAAATTTTAAAACTCTTCAAGAAATTAAAGTTAAAAATTTAAAATTGCCTAGTCCCCGACGTAAATAGCCTAGATGCTGATCGTCGTTAACTAAAACTAACTAACTAACTATGGTTTGTGTTCTACGTACATATTCATAGAGTTACCGTCTATACTGGAGAGCTTTAATTCTTTTCCGGGCGATTCATTAAAAAAAATATATATTTAAATTGGAATTACACATCCAGAACTAACGATCACTTTTATCGAAAGAATAAAGTGATTAAAATAGGTAAGCTCGCCAAGCATTATTTGAACGGTCGAGAAAAGATTTTTATAAAAAGAGTAAAGGAGCGTGTTTTTGTGCATTTTGATTTTAATTGAGTGAGGCCATGGTATGAGCAAAATTGATTCATCTTGTTTTGAGTATTGTTCACCGAGAAAAAAGAATTGTCGCCGTTACAGTGCTTTTGTTGGATTCCATGTCTCACACAATTTTATAGTCAGAGTTACGATGTAACTTTTAAAATTACAATTTTTTCCAAATGCACCATTCTCTCCAAAACCAAAATAATTTATCATCACGAATTTGTCATCGTTACTACACCAGAAATGTAGGTAGGGACTGGAATCCACTATGAGCGTGTTAAGCGGAGCAATTAATTTTCCTTTGTGTATCCCATGGTTGAAAAATAATCTTGTCCGTGTAGTTAAGAGGTTATCAGGAAATAACAAAGGCACAAAGTTTTGGAAGAATTTTTCTTTTTTTTTATAAAAAAAAATCGAGTTGCAAATAAATAAAATAAATTAATCAGTAGAAAAATAAATTAAGACAAAGAGAAAATCAACAGAGAGAAATAAATTAATCTCGATAAATTAATCGATAATGGACGTAATCTTAGGTATTTGGCACCAGGACGGCTGCGGCCAGGCGAGGTCCGTGTGGTCGAGTCTTTGGTTGCGCGCGGCGGTGGCTCCACGGAAGAAACTTGAGCGGTCACCATCGGCCTGAGGAGGATGGCATCTCAGAATCTGGAACAGAAGCGTAACAGAATGAATGAAGTGGCAGTATCACTTATTAATGCAAAACCCCCGTCCTTTTTCTCTCTCTTTTTCAGAATTGACTCGTCGAGCGATAAGTTCTCGCAGTCAATAGGTCCCGGTAGACCAGTTATCAACGCAGATGCCATATCGTATCGATATAGCCCGCTTCAGGCCCAAGTCATATTTGGACGGAGTTAAACAGAAAGGAACCAAGCCACATCGGGATCGAACCGAGAAAAAGAGGTTTAAAGTTTGGCTCCTGCATAAGACTCAATGTAAAAGATAAACTTCAAGTTCAATTCCTACAAAATTTGCTCCAACAAAAACTTTGAATTTTTGGAGATAGATAGTAGAGCAGTGGTTGAGTTCAAAACCACTCATACCTCAATTTTTTCTAAAATGTGGGTTGGTTCCTTTCTGCTTAACTCAGTCCATTTCTGGATCATACATATCTACGGTGTAACCACAAAACAGCGTATCTCGTCACAGATTTTCTGTCGCATTTTACTTTTTCGAAGGCTCGCTCATCACAGTTATCGCAAAATCATCGTTAAATGGACACGGAAAAAAAATTTAGCGCTAAGCCCTAATACTTTCGGTAAAATAACGCCAAATAAAGGCAGTAGGGCTGGACCCTAAAGCTGTAGGGCTGAACTCTGAAGCTGTAGGGCTAAGCACTACCGCCTTTCGTTGGCGTTATTTTACCTATAATGTAAGGGCTCAGCGCTATGCATTTTTTCCGTGGACTATCTTCTCTTTTGATTGGCACGTAGACTACGGAAAAGAACCCATAACCAACAAAAATTGTTAAGAAACTTTTTTGAATAAACATTTTTTTTATTCGATTTAAAGAAATTTGGTCCTAACAAGAAGTACTCAATAGTTCATGTTGGAACGATTTAACATCTCAGACTCGTGTTTAAAAACAAATGCTCTGAAATAAATAAAAATAAAAACATATTTTTTTATGGAGAAGCTTGACAACTAGGCCTATCAGCCGACCGAAAGGAGCGGATGTCGCCGACGCGACCATCGGAAATCCGTTAGTCGGTATCAAGTTCCAAGTTCAAAGTGCTAAGCACTGTTGCCGAGCAGTCCAATCTCTCCAAGAAAAGGCAGTGCTCGAAAGGGCGTTTCGCAGGTAAAATTGGGAGAGGCGCTCTGAACCGGCTTTGATCCAAGTTAAATGTCTACTGGGATTTATTTCAACGCCTCTGTCATCGGTTCAATCACCAGAGGAATTCGTGTGTTTGGCCGCAATTCCCGTTGCCTCATTATTTTACTCCTGATACGACGGTAGGGGGAGGGGGTCGGACATCGATCGATTTCACTATACCATATGCTCATGCAAATGAGAAGTATCTCGAAAAAGCTGTTTTTTGTGTCGGAATGGTTCCACACGCCTTTTGGCGGAAGTATCCAACCGTTCGCGAGTTTCTAAACAAATATGCAAACTTTAGGAGGTAGAGTGATATGAACTGGGTTTTTTTTTCAGATGGAAGAACCGCTACATGATCTTCGTGAAATTTTTAATTTTGAGAAAAATAAAGTAAGGATTTATTCATTTCGATCACCTTCAATGACCTAAGATTGACCTAATTGACCTAATGGGCAGTGCTCCTATTTCCCGGAACTAGTTCCGAATTCCGAAACTTTTGCGATTTTTATGGATCTTTTGCATTTTCCGGAACTTTCTTGGAACTTTTGGAAAATCTAAAAGGAATCCCGGAACTTTGAACGACCGTCGAGTAGGAGAATTGGGAACAAAAAAATTCCGAATCACGGAACTTTTGACGGACATAGAATCGGAGCACTGCTAATGGGTTTTGTATGGGTATTGATTATCTACCTTCCATAACTTGAATTTAAACCATTTTAGACTTTTAGACTTTTAGAATAATATCATTAAGTAGCTTACCATAGGCCCGTAGATATTTCGAATTTTGCGAACTGGCAACCTATCCACTGCCCATCGGAATCTTTTGGACGGGGACCTATGTAAAAGGTAGCCTCCTTTTTTCGGCACGAACCCACCGTTTCGTGTCGGTGCTAACCGCTGACGTCTAAAAATTTAACATCTCGTGAAAAAGTTTGAAGTTCGTGAGGAGAGGCTCACACTTTACGCGGTTCGTTAAACTTCTCGCCTATTAAACTCAATTAACTGCCCCGGACGCACGAAAATCAGGGGAACGAGAGTGATGAATAAAAATAACGACTACGTGTTGTCAAACGACGCAGTGAAAATCACTTTAATCCGACGAAAAAAACGCGTGTGTTAAATTTTACCCTATATAGTTTTGTGTGCAATTTCATTATGTCTATACATTTATGAGGCTCCTCTCTTATCTGTTTATTTTTATTGGTTTAGCAATGTAACTAAGGTAGTTCGATCAAGTAGCTTAGCGTAAGTTCATGCATTTGAAATCTGCCTTCCAGCTTTCGGAGAAGAATAAACAAATATCCTCGAACAAAAAAAAAAAAAAACGAAACAAGAAAAATTCTAATCAGGGTTGTTGTTTAATTGAGAGCTTGCAAATTGTTAAAATTATTTTGTCTCAATATGGCAAATAAGTACTGAAATGAAATGATAAACTACTTGAAAATATCATTTTCATAAACTTATTTTTCTGACCAAAACCGCGAGTTAACATTGAAAACAAAAGCATAACCTACGAGTCACATCTCTCTCCTCTTTTATTCCTTTTGATCTTCTTGGCAACGCGATGAACTTCACACTGACCAGAGGAGACGCAGATGAGGTCAGAAACCTACCTCGGAGGTGATAATTGAGAATGAAGTAGCACGTGCGATGGATGTGCTGAATACATTATAATTGCTCTGATATTATGCGTGATATGCAGTATCCCTAATTTCATCTTCCTGCATCTAAGATTATATACCAAAAACGAGAAATGAGGTTCCTTTTAAAGAATAATTGGTGTACTCATATTTTAGGAGACATCTCAAGTGTTTGTTTGTAGCGTGTTTTTGTAATTTCAAGACATTCGTTCTTCAATTGATAATTTGAATGTTCGGCGGACTTTTTGGATTAGTCTATAGCTCTAGGCTTGACAAACAATTTGATGAGGAGCGATAAGTGATCGGAGCTCTACAGAGGTAGAAGGGGTTACATTATTCAGTGAATACATACTTTCATCATTTTTAGGGACTCATGATATTAGAGTGGGCAATATAGCACATAATCTGAATCTTGCAAAAATATTGTAGCAATCACAAGCATGTATATTGACTCTACTTTAGATTTTTCTTCATTTGGTTTTATCAAAGAAATATTTGGGTATTGAAAGGATACCTTAATGAAAATTACTATGGAAATAATTACTATAATAGAAACATATTCAATATTAATTAGTCTAATAATAATATGTATTTTCGCGAAAGGCAGTTTTTAATTATTTGCGACCAACCTTCAAATGTAAATATTTTAACCTCTGACTTAAACAAAATTGACGTAATTTTGGTGCTTTGATATTATTTGCTTAACTTAGAGCATAAACAAATATGCTACATGGCCGATTTACCGTGATCATGATGTCAGATGATAATATCTGAACCGCCCATTTTGCCTCGGCGATGAAGAAGTGCAGATTTTTTTTAATGCCTTTTTTTAAGAGTGAAACCATGTCTTGAAAGGTCACGACATCCCCGAATTCTGAATTTTACTTCTTTGCCCCTTAGGCTTTAATATGAGCAAGATAGAGATCAGACTGTTGCATAATAAACTATATTAGGGGAAACTGAGAAGTGTTCGACGAACCGGTGTAACAAATTTCACCCGAGCGAAAGTTTGAACATTTGCATAAAGCCCCATTAATTTTATTCGAAACGGATTCACCATAAATACCATCGCCGGGTGAAAGGAAGCCTCTCTTCTCTACGGCGATAATCAAATTCAACGAGCAATCGAGCGTGCAAGAGACAACGCTGTCCCTTGCACGGTTTTGCCTTTTCGATTGCATCTACCGCGCAGAAAGTGAAAATTTGCGAGTGTTGCAAGAGCAAGAAATACCTGCTAATGAAATTCACACAGCGTCGTGAATTAGACGATTATGAAGGAGTAGTGACTTTCATCGCAATGTCACCGTCTCGGTCGTGACATTCTCTGGCCTTGAATTCATCCGACAAAAAGTGAATCTACTACCTGTATTGAGTAACGTTTGTTCGAACTTTTTGGCAACGAATCACTCGCACGCTTCGCAGAGTAGTTTACAGAGATCTGGCTTAAATAAAATTCGGTCATGTATGGATTGAACATTCGAAACCCAATAGTGATCGAACTGTTTTGTATGCCAAACTAAAATTTTTGCCCATTAATTTGGACCTCACTTTGCAGTTTAATGAGACTCAACAGCTCGGTAAAACGAACTGCAAGTTCGGTCAGAAGAAATCAATACCAGTTCATTTCAATTTCCGATCTTTAAATCCATAATCTCTTTTAGTGTTTTAAAACTGAAAAAATGAGCAATTTAACCAAAATGATCTAGCACTAATTGTGTTCGAGATACACCCCTAAGTTTCAATGTAGCTAGCAAAGTTAAGTTCACGAAGGCTCAGTACATTATGAAAGAGCCGATGAATGAGCCGATTATGTGATTTTTCGAATTATCTGTGCAGGTTTAATGGCTCAGTGCATAAGAGGGGTAACTACGTACGAGTACACTGTCTGAAAAGGCCATTTTAAGTCGAGGATTATTCTCTCAAAATTCCGCGCTAGATAGGGAAATTGACTCGCAAATTCCTAGACCTTATGGAACTTCCCTTGGTAATTGATGGTTCCAGATATGCCTGAAAACACTTTGTTGTTCAAAGATTTGTCTAAGAGGAGCTTCATTGCAGCTGGGTAAGATTAATGGTCTTTCCATTGTTAACGAAACTTTCATTCAGCGGTCAGAGGTGCGTTTGGACGAGGATCAGTGAGAAGTGGTTAAATGAGGAGAGGCAATATTGAGAGCTTAATGTGAAGAATGATTGATGAATAATGACGGAAACGATAACGCTAAAGCACAGCTATTTTGCTTCCATGTAGCTTCCAACTTAGTCACCTAGTCTTGAGAGTCATTCAATGGAGTGAGAGATTACACAGTTGTCGGTATGGGCTCTTAGACGTCCATTTTACTCGAATTGTTCAGACTAGCAATAAAGAAGCATATCGATAAAAGTGGCCTTTTGCTCCTAAGGTACACCGTAAACTTGTCACTTAGCTAAGCGACCAAACTTTGTTCATGCCCTTTACAATTCAGTGCGTTTTTGGGATTTTTTTTTCTTTTTTTTTGAGACAAAAAATTCTCAGTGTATTACTTCCACTGTCTTTACTGGCTTATACAGGATGTACTCTTTGTTCTCTTAATTTCATTTGCTTTATCATAATTTCATGAAATCATCAATTCATGCTCAACATATTTCTATTTTTTTGGAATTCTACGTCCCCAAATTTAAATTTATTCGTTTTATGATAGACTTTTAATTACAATTCATCAAGTTAGGTTTGAATGGTTAAACACTTGAAATTCAAATGTTTTAAACGAAACCAGCGATAAATATGGTGGAAAATTACTTCAACTGACTGTTCTGAGGGAAATCCAAATTTTTTTTTTCCTGAACTTTTATAACCTTTTTTTAATGGGAGAAACCGCCAAAATTTCAATTTACCGATCTAAGAGATTTTCATTTTAAGAAAAATGTAATTATAGTTGAGCAAACATGTTTACTCAAGCGATCAGTTTATGGGCATTTCAACGTATTCCTGGCCACTAATCCAGCTGTACCTTAGAAGCAAAAAGGGAATTACAGAGGGTAGTAAATCAAGACCTGGCTGCAAACAGCTTATTATAAGTCTTAAAATGCACGTGTTAAAATATTCGAGTGTCAATTGCAATGTGGCAACATCGACATCCATTTTTCTTGCCTGAGACTAGACCATGTTTGTCTGGATTTTCGCACAAATCGAATAATAGCCTCTTAATGACAGAGGCGCGAAAAAATGAAATTAGAGTAGCGTTTCTGCAAAGGAGTTGCATGATGGATGAAGAACTTGCTGCTGGACCGAGTAACAAAACAGCTGCATCACACTGCAGATTGATTTCCCACTTTTCCCTCTGCGTTCTCAACTTATTTAATCTGGATGCGGCGTCGTTTCTTACTGTATGTTTCACCGTACCACTTTATCTCTTTGTAAACTAGACATACCTACCGTAATAATGTCAACGGTAAACGATAATGAGCGAACCCTACCAAGCTCATCAGTCAATGCGTATTGTTCAAACAGAAGCTAAGGAATTCATGCAATTACGGTAACAGTTGCTTCGGTCAGATCAAAATCATCTCTTTAAAATGGAAAAACAGATCGATATACGCATACACAAGTTTTAAATGTCATTTTTGCTCATCTGTGATTCGGAACCTTTTTAAAGGTAACATATTGAGTGACGTTTCTTTTGGATTAGCAAGGAGCTTCTGAGTAAGGTTACTCTCCACAAAAAGGCTTATTCATCAATTGTCACTCTCAAAGTGTTCCACATTGTGCAATAAGGAACTAAATGTACATTCATGGCTCATTTTAGGAATAGCATATGTGTCATTAACTGCCTTACACGAATAGGTGCTTTGTAGATGAGCCAGAAAAGCGGCTTCTAATTACAAAGTTCTGTCCAACTTTTCTACCCGTGCGTTAAAGTCTCCTCCGTCAATCTCTGTTTTAGGTTTATGTATACACTCTTGGACTGTATTTTGCCAGTGGCTTAGCATATCAAAGTTATCAGTAACTAGTTATCAGTACCGGTTATCAAGTTTTCAGTATCCGGATTGAATCTTAGCCACCCGTGCCTGGTTTTTACGAGGTTTTCAACTAAACACTTTGGGTCGTTTAACCAAAAGGTTTAGGCAGTTTAACCGAACCAAAATAAATTAACAGGAATTTTATGCTATTATGTCTTCTAGTTCTCAATAATTTAACACAGCATTAGGCATTTCCCTCACGAAAGAACGTAGCTACATCTGAGTGTTGCCGAATTTCCTCTCTCGAACTGCCGTTTTAACAGGAGATTCCTGGGAATTCCCATCTAAAAATTTCACTGATTTTCCTTTTAATCTCGTTTGAAAGAAGATGAATTTTGGACAAAAATATCTCTAGTACATTTTTTTAAAGTAATTTTATGGTTTGTGTCAATTTTGCAACCTTGGAACGAGTTACGCTCTTTCGTCCTGGAAACGACGAAAAGTTGTTACTTTTAACAAGATTTTTCGGTTTTCGGCAACTCATAATGATGGAAACAAAAGTTGAGCCATGTTATGGTAAAATCTAGGTAGATATACCTAACATCTTCATGCACATTGTCCACTAACATGCGGTGAACCCAATGTCACTACCAAACCACTGAAACTCTTTGCCTCTCTTAATTTAAAAATCTAAATTTTCGTATAAACCTTCATTTTCGAAATTCTCTGTAAAGACGTTAATAGCCTGTGTCACTGAATGTCTTAAGGTATATTAACTAACTAACTTTATTTTTTTAAAGCATGGTCTGGGTCGCAAGCACTGCTTATTTTTGAGAAATCGGCTAGTAGCAGCTCAACTTTTGTTTTTATCGTTGTTACTATTTTATGTAGAGGAGGCATGGTCTCACCTTTTCACTTTTGAGCGGCGGCGGGTTTGTAGGCGGAGTAGGCGAGATCTTGGGCGTCTTGTCCTTGGGCGCTTCTGCCCCAGCCTCCGTGGCCACCACCACCGTAGCCTCCGGCGTCAGCACCTGACGAGGAGAAGGATTCGTGTCCGTGGTGGTCGTGGGCGGGAGCGTGGTGTGGGTGAGAGACGATCTCATACGTCACAGTCTTCTGGTGGGACAACAGCTTCTTGAGTCCGATGATGGCTGAGAGGAGGAGGGCGATCTTACCGATGAGCAGAGCTTTACCGGCGATCAGGGCGATGGCACCAAGAGCGAATGGGATCAGGGCGGCCAATTTCATCTTCAGGAGCATCAGAAGAGGCAGAAGGGTCTTGCCGGCTTTCTTGACTGTGGACAGAAAAAGAAGAATCGAGGTTAGAAAATTCTAGGCGCATATATTTCCAACGATTACAAACATACAATCAATCTGGATATTGATAGCAACCGTCCTGAGCGTGACCTACCGAGAAATATTTCGAGTTCCGCCTAAAAACTTGATGCTCAGAACACGGTATCTAATTGAGTCTTAAGATAAAGCCTCCTTTAAGATATATTTTTGTCGTAGTCTGGAATAACTTTAGTACTTATGAGAGGGATTGGAAATTTTTCGCGGATTTTAAATCAAAGGCTGGAGATAATGAATTTATATCTAAAGGTGCTCAAAACTATATCCAACTCAAATATTTCAGGAATGTCTCTCATTTCCTTTTTTACTGTGAACGTCAAATCCTTAAGATAAGGCAATATTAACCACTGCTTTGGGGTATGTTATTAGATGGTAAATAGATGAGTGACGTTCATGTTTTTCATAGTTTGGTTCTGATTTTAACAGACCACCTTGCACTCGCCGCACGAGATCCCGGTGAAAGCAGGGGCTAACAGGTGCTGTAAAATTAAGTTAATCTTCGATTGGATCGCGTCATCTGCCCAGCCGGCCGAAACGTGGGTGGATCAAGGCACCTAAACATGGCTGCATTTCCAATCGCAAAACTCGACCCACCCTGCACGATTCGGATCTTTATGAACCTAGGTCCGGCAACGCCGCACGAGGGACTTGCGGAGAGTGTGGATCGTTGAGATGAGAAATGATAGATAGCGGGTTCAGCAATCGGAAGGATTGCGCGCATGTTAATTAGAATCCGGCGCTGTGTTTCAAACCCAGCTTTCGAGCCCGCTTCCTCGATCGTATCAGAAAGAAAAGAGAAGGTCCACCGCTCACAAGTTGACAAACTTGACGATGAAATTCGCATTTGATGCTAAACTCACCAATGCGAGTGCACCGTCTGGCAACTGAAGGACCGAAGTTGACAGGTTGTTTTTAAAATTCGCCTGAAGCTAACGAGAGTGGGCAAAAATTTTAGCCAAGTCTGGCCACTCATCGCGGCAGGAGGTCTCGAGGGAAAGGGGGGCCTTACGCGGTGGGCCCTGTGCCCATTAGTTCTCTCTGCCACTGGCTAGGATTCGCCCGTTCGTCAAATGTGTGCCATGAAGCCTTAAATTCGAGCCCGGTTCTCACTTAATCGGCTTAATGGATTTTTTTCACCGCAGCGTCCGGGGGAGGCGGTCTCTTGCGAGTTCCGCGGTGGATCAGCACTTGTTCGCTTGACCATTAGCACTCCCCAGTAAAAGTGATCAGCAAACATGCGGATATCAGCGTCCGAGACTCCGTTGCCAAATTTGCCTCACGCGAAAAGCAACACATTCAAATAAATTAAATTACAAGAAAGGTTGATAAAGGGAATTGCGTTTTCTGTAGGTCTTCTTATTTACTTCATTTTTACCTATATTTTTAGGCATCAATGTGTTTATTTAACGTACAGACCGCTTTATACTAGTAAAAAAAGAGGAAAAAATGCACGCTTGTTAAATTAGACCTTCTGTCTTATTTTTATCGTAGAGTCAAAAATATTAAAGATGAGAGGTATCCGTTTTTATTTTTTCATTTCTTAAACAAAAATATGTGCCATTTTTATTAAAATTATGACCCTAAATGTTCTGTGAATGAATTTTTGGGAGGTACTCTATGAAATAGTGAATAAATGTTTTCACAACGTATGACATCTGTGATAAAGTTCTTCAATTGATTTTGAGTTACAGGCATAAGCACTCCCTTCTCGACTGTCAAGCTCAAACGATTGTTTCATCATCTAAGGCATGCTAATGTCCACGTTTAATTTTTTTGGTTGGATACAACAAATATTATAAAATGTTCAATTAATATACAATTGATTTCTACCAGTATAACATTCCTTCTCCGATTTGCATGTTAACTCTTTTTTCTTAACTAAAACCGAGAAATAGATTTTGCATGAGCAAAAATGTCAATGCATTACACTTACACTTTAAATTCACCGTTCGATCCCTTCAGCAAAAGTTGTCGGATACTATCAAGTATTGGAGCAGAATGCACTCCGTCTCGAGCTTTCTAGTTCAACCAGTCTGAGCTAGTTTTAGCGGCTGGATATAAACAGCTCCCTCGAGCTGGTATCTCATTTGTAACACTTAAGTGAAATTTACTAGTGCGCCAGAGGTAATAGAAGCACTTTCATTTGAAAACTGGCCTCGGTCACTTGTACTTTTTATTCGCACTCAGCAGCTTATTAGCAGCCAATACGACTGCTACGTCGAAGCTACTTGCAATTTTGGCCGCCAGTAATTTTTGAATGAGCAGTGAACGTCAAGGCAGGTGCATCTAACACTCAATTCGCCTGCTCAAGTGATTAACATTTATGCTATAAAATAAAGCTTGTATTAAAATTCACTCTATATATCATTCATGATAATATTGTAACGCTGTAACATGTTCATGTTACGCACTGTACATGTACTTTCATCTAGTAAAACGATTTTCGAGGTGAAAAATCATAGCATATGCAATGGCAAAGTTAATGCAATCATCCGCAGAGGCCTTTATAGGGAAAGATCGCTGTGATTCTCTGATGGAAATTCTTGGTTCTCAAACTTTTTTATCTAACATTTCGCATTTTGCAAAAATAAAAGTTTGAGTCAACAAAACAAGACTTTTTACTACACTCGTGTTCAAGTAGCTCATTTAATTTCATTACCACATTATTTACTACGTTATTACATAAACGTTGCATTGCTGAAGTAGTGTTCATTTGGAGACTTTAACGCACGGCTAGAAAAGTTGCCGCATATTCTCAAGGATTCCATTGAACTCGCTATCATTGTAATTTGAGCCGGAAGTGCTAAGTAGATTGTTACGTCCGTTTGATTTATCTGGAACCACTGGCCCAAAACGCACTAAACTTTAATGCATGCTCCGTTTGGCTAATTCGGTCCCCTGACATCTTCGGCGCAGCGGATCAAAAACGCCTCCGCCCGCGGGAGTTTAAGCTGGACCATTTGTGAGCGTGAGCAAAATTTGACAGCTGCTTGGCAACGAAGAGTAGAAAGTCCAGCGGCCATAAATTGAAACTACATCCACCATCCACCTAATTTTCATAATTTAATAGATTCAGATTATACGTTGTCTCGCTCATCGATATCAATTCTCGCGCGTCATTCGATCCAGCGGTGGCGGCAGCGGTGGGCTATTCAATCAGCGCCGACGAAACTTTCGATCCTAGATTTCGCCTTAATCTTGCCGGATTGATCCGAAAAATGTAGTATGATCGGTAGTGTTCAAATGAAACCGAACAGTTTTTTGTAGATCTTGCAACGTTGCTCCGAATAGAGGTACGAATAATCTAGCGGTGCTTTTGAAGTGATTGATTGATACCTAACTTGGATTACCAGCAAAAAATGAGCGGGGCGGGCTCGGAGAGAATAAAAGGGGGGATGAACGGGCTATTGATCATTATTCTTCACGAATGATTTTGGAAAACCTGCTCGGATCCTAAGCTATAAACATAAATTGTCAACCAATCGCCTGGTGTTTCTACGTAAGTCCTCAAATTTTGAAACGATTTAAATACGTTGCAATTATTTTCGTAAATTTGCACATACTTGGCACATGATTTCATAAGTGCAAGCTTCATTTGCTCGACATTAAAGACTGAATCTTGTATATAAAACCTTTGAGAATAGTCAACCCATCCTGTAATTCACAATTCTCCCTTGAGAAAAAAGAGGAAACAGATGTCATTTCATCAATTTTGTAGCAAATTTTTGTACATCTTTGTCTTGCATTTGTAAACCATACTTTTCCTTTGATTTATTATTCAATCAATGTTTCATCTATATTGTTCAACAACAAAAAATAGAAGAAGAAGAAATTGTGGCCACTGGCGGTGACTCATTATAGATGTGCTTTTTACGCTGGGAGCTGATTATTGAAATTAATAGACAAAGCCACAGACAAAGAAGACATGGGGAGTATAGAACAATCACATTGACTGAAACAGGTGCTCTATAGACGAAAGAGGAAGTAAGGGGCTAACTGTAGGGTCTCTAATGGGTTGCTGTAGGTTAGTCCATCAATTATCTCCTTTGTCGATTCCAACCAATAATTTTAACTAATAGGATCGCTTCAGTTTTCCTCCGACTCCTATGTCCATCGCTTTGTCCATACATTTCAATAATCAGCCCACTGGTTGCAATAACCACCGTTATAAATTACACAACTGCCTTGATAATAAGTAGCAAGATCGCCTTGTTTAATATCATAGTAGTTACAGTAACTACCGCATGGTTTTTTGACTAGTCAGTGGTGGCGGCTACTTTTTTCCTTGGACCTTCGCCTTAAATCCGACAATAGGGCCGCAATCAAAACCCGGCTCGCCCGGCCAGAAATGGCCCGAGAGAAACTGACGGGCAGAAATTCATTTCCATCCACATTCACATCCACCATCTGCCATTTACGCCGCACGGCCACGGATACGGCCAGGGCCGCGGCCGGCCCAGACCTTTAAGGCCAAAGTTCTCAGCACGACCAGTTCGCCGCGCGCCACGCCGCACGGGACTGGTTTCGAAAGCCGATAGTCGATCACTCCGGAACCGGTTCGCGGCAACGGAATCGAATCAGGTGTTTGGTCTGGAAACCTCATTCGCCGTCGCGAGATATATCGACACCTCCGGGAGCCCATCTCTCTCGCGTGTCCCTTGGCGCTGCAGGTTGGAGAGAGACGAACGCACCGATGAATGATCCCAACATCCAGGGAGCGGAATTTATTTGACGTGTTAGAGCGGGACAGACAGCCTACCCGAACCCTGTCGGTCCGTTAGAGGGAAAAAGATGGATGATCGGGTCCTCGTATCGTGGCCCACGCTGCTCTAAACTAAACAAATACTAATTTCCGGAAAAACCGCGTATGTATAAAATGTTCTTATCAGAATAAACGTGGTTCTTCTCGATCGAGACGTTTTTTTTGTGGGATGGTGATTTT